ATTCCTGTCAGAAATTCGTCACTTATGCCGGTTTTAAAAGAAAGGCAACCATTTTCGAATCCCAAAGCTCATGCTTGATTACAACGTATTTCAAGGAAACAACTATGATCTTCAAAAATCATTTCAGTCATCTTCAACAACTGCTTTCGTTTTTTAGCACAGCCATGACTTACTTCGGCATGATCTACGAAGCAGGATCTGGTCCATGTATGGCCGATAGTGACTGNGTATTAACGGCAACAACAACAACAACAACAATCCCATATGCAGCCTTACAACTCCATTTAATGCTGATTGCTTCACATAATCATTTCAATAGGAAGGGGAATAAATTGTGCATTGACGTATTTTTGTGATTTTTACTCTTTGAATGCGTATAGACGACAGTTTTCGCAAACGCGAAAAGACTTTGGGTCAGAAAATAGAAATTCAAAACACTTAGGTCATTAAGAATTGATAGGTCAGCTATCACAATCATATGCGCAGAGTGGCAGAATTTAATATCATCCAATAGAGGTTGAGTGAGTTCATCAAAGATTGTTGCTGGATTCCCTGTTCGGGGCCTAAAAGCTGCCTCCAAAATTTCTAATCACCATTGGACGGCATCAGCGTAGGCTTTTGGAATAGAGTAGTTACTGTAGAGTTGGTGACTGTTCGATATCCAGTTCCAACTGCAAGCCTACAAAAGGGTAACTTCTGGCAGTCGTTCTCCTCTCATTTGTCGGTTATTTTCACTGTTAAATGCTTCACAATCCACAAATGCTTCTGGGGTCAAAGGAAGAATCTCAGAGGAATTCCTTCATAAGATTCGAGTATCATGCCCTCGACTGATCGATTTCTTGTATTTTGTTTCCTGATCTTCTTCCATAAGTCATCTTTGAGTCTCTAGGATAATGTTTTTTTCGTTACCGTCTACACATTCTCTATTTAATTGTAAGGGAAAAGAAATCAAATNAAGGTAGAGAGATGCTTATGTGCAAATTGTATAATGTCTGCACTTTTGGTTTGTTTTTCATACACTGAAGACATCTATAGCACATCTATAGCAGAAAAACTAACGATGTGCAGTCACTTGCATATACAATCCTTTCCTACTGCGACTACCTTAATTGATGAAGGCTTGAAGGCAAACCCTTCTCTTGAATGCCGATTCCAGAAACACAAGCAGTCTGAATCATATAAAGTGAAACTGAACCATGTACGATTCATTATAGGTCACATCAATCAATCTACGGTAATCGGAAGGCCGCACGAAAAATATTCTAGCGAGCCTGAGAAATCTACCAATCATGGCACAAACCACTGAAACGCACGATTTATTGGTTCGACCAAATTTTGCAATTCGAGAAAATTGGAAAAAGAAAATTGCGTAGTGCGCTTTACTGTGTCGATCATTCTCCAAAGAATTATGTTGATTATTTATTTTTGAATACCGAATTCAAAGTTTTTCCTGAAAGCTGCCCATATCGGTCAACTCCTAGGAAATGTACTTATTCATTGGATAGAACAAAAATGAAAGGGTAAAATAAGGCCGGGTACGGAAAGCTATGAAAACATCAATGATGTTTCGATCGTAGGCATCAGAGAAAAGCTAGCATCAGCGCTGCGGACCACTTGGTACATCGCCAATGCCACACGCTAATTCTAAGAGAGACAACTAATTCAATTTGCTGGAAATTTGTTCCCTGCAGAACAATATTCAGTGTACAGCCAGAGTTCGCCTCGTTGTTTTCGTCAAGTCGAAAATCACGTTTTGTGTTTCCGTTGTGTATCCGTATTTTATGTTATCAAGCTTAGAACAATTTTAAGAAGTGTGCATCAGTCAGCCGTTGGAGGTTTTGAGACGATCAAAGCATTAGGAATAATAAGTCGCACGGGCTAGGCTGTGGGATACCTTATGCCACTCCGACGTCGGATTTATATGAATTCATAATTAATTTATTTATGGAGATGTAGAAACGTATGTGAAAAAATAAGCATAAAAAATTAGTAACGAAAAGCATCAACTAGTGTTCAATCTGATACGATGCTTCTTGATGGTCCTCTGTGTAAAGTCGAATAATTTGACTCTGTGCAACAGATCATAAGTTCTCATGTGAGATCATCAGAAGCTTCATATCCTTTTTGAGCATGGAGTGGGTATCGTAGTTCCGTACCTTACCAAAGGCTAGACATAAGTTTTATAAGACCACAAAAACGTGCGAGATTCTCCGTTCTCGAGGCTCCAAAACGGAAAATCCTCCTGAGCCCATTAAATGGAGTTGTTCGCGCTCCTTATGAAAATTTAGCTTGTGACCATAATAGTAGCCCAGACCGCGAACTTTAAACATATGGTTCAAGGCGACTCGTTTATAAGCAGCTATACGTATGAGCACCTAAGCGCATGACATGTCCTTTGCTGTAGATTGAGTAGGGCTTTTGTTCTTGACCCAATACAGTCCTACCATTTACGATTAGGGAAGGAGCATCAGTATCCCTATCCAGTCCACGACTTCATACATCTTAAGTTGTCTGCATAGATATTGCAGAACACAATTGCATTCTTAGAAATAATAAGGTGATTAGCAGTGAAAACATTACATAATACAAAAGACAAGATTCCTCGCCGAAGCACCCCGCTGCACGCCGAACGAATAACCGATGAGGATTCTCCGACCAAAACTTGAATAATTCTACTATCAAAGAATCTTCCAATTCACTACTAGCGAGTAAGCACTGAGGTGATTTACCTTATGAAGTTAAATCATTTGCGACTTTTTATCAAATGGTTTTAGAGCCTATATTGACCACATCTCATGTTTTAGTTTCATCTTATGTTTTTTTGTTTTGGCTACACATTCACGCCACACAGCACTGAGTTTTTGATAGATCTGCTGTACAGAGATCATGACCTGAGGTAGCACCAGCCTGTACATCAGCTGGCTATATGTCCAAAGCACTGACCTTCGGATGATTATATAAACACAGAACTGTATAAAGTATATAAAAATGCGCTATTATTACAAACAACGCATATGAGCGAAACTGCCAGCAACTATCTAGACTTGGTAATCACAATAAGTAGCAATAAAATTAATACAAAAATGTATAACAAAACTGACGACTTCAATTTCAAAGTAATCAGATTTCCCCATGCGGCATCTAACATTTCCAAGAAGAATAAAGAGTCAGTCATTTATACCGAAACGCTCAGAATAGCAAACACTTGTAGTGAACTAGTAACTTTCACCGACAAACTTGGAACACTTATTAAGGTGTTGCTAAATAATAGCTACAAAAAAGAATTTATATTGGCTAATTTACTAAAATGCCTTTACAAAAATAAGTTTATCTCTTATAAATACGCCATTGATAATGATTACAAAACTATTAAGAAGCTTGTAAATGAAGTAATAAACTCTTTACAAATTAGATCTTAACTTAGCGTAATACTACCTTTAACTTCATAAAGGAACATTTAAGTAATAGCTATTAAATAAATAGTACGCTCTATTCTACCACAGTATTCATGTGAACACTCATTCTGCTAATATGCATACCGTACTCTTCACATTAGACATTTTTAGGCTACGATACCTAAACAAGTATTCTTACATTAACTTTTATCTCATGTAATATACCTTTTGATACCTTTTACATTCAGGATTTTTCCTTTTATTCTCGTTTACGTAACCTTATTACTAATCCATCTGTCTATCACCTACTCCATTCTTCGCTAACCCCGCTCACTGAAGATCCTCAAGGGTTAAGCGGAAAACATGATTCGTTTGAGCAAGAGGTGAAACGAATCATGTATTGTTTTTCTCCTTTGTTCTTTCTCACTGTCCTTTAATCTATCAATAGATATTAACATTAACTAGAACTTCTCTATTAATTTGTACTTGCTGGTATTCATCAAAGGACGAGGGCAACCCGTCTTAGATGTTATACCAGTCCCGACTAACGGGTATAGTTCTAGATACATTCCTTAGGCGATGGCCTCATGTCACCGGTGGTGACAGATTCCGGACCGATGGTCCATTATGCGTCGGTGACGCTCTTCACTTTTCTTCATTTTATTACATTCATAACATATATTCGACCTTATTACAAGCTTCTTTCTTCTATACTATACAATGATTGCTATATTGAATTTCACTAACTTCTCTCAGATGTTATTAGATTTATTTTGTTAACATCACTCTTTTAAAACGAGAAATGCCGTGGATTGTTCTATTGAGATAAAACTCAATATAATAACACAATAACAGTAAACAATCATCTAACTAAAACGATAACACTAGCCAAAAAAAATTTCCAACACTATAACATTCACTGATCCTCATAGAGTTATTAATTGACTCTTTCACCTGTTCTATTGCTCACTCGCTCTCTTCAATGTCCATCCTCGAGTGCTTCGAACTGGAAGTTTCATGATTGTCGGCTATTGCTATACGTTTTTCTTCCCTGAAGTTTGAAGAACAAGTTATTTCAATTAATTCAACTAATTGTATAACATTGATTTTCTTACTTCCTGTGTTTTGGATCCCGCAACAGAATTAATGTCAACACCAATTATTTCTTCAAGAGTTACCGATCCCCATTCTTTTTCATTTCTCTAAATGACAGTACAATAATATACTTAATAGAATACTAAACCACAAATAACTTTACTATAACATACTTTAAATCGGTTCAATTCGGTACTGTTTAACAATGATATAATGGGAGATCCTTGCCAGTCAGAATACTTCCACCCCAACTTAATCGCTAATTCGGTAGATTTGAATCTCTACAAAACAATGATATATAAGCATATATTGAAATAGATATAATACCATAGTGATTCACCTTCAATTCTTTATTAACCAAACTTCTTATTGATAAAAATGCATTTTTTACAAAAATTTCTGGCACCTCCAAGTTCTTATCCATGCAATATTGGCGAATCCTTTTTCTCAAGTAAAGGCTGCAATAAGTAAATTTTCAGTAGTTTATCTAGTTTATCTAAACTATAAGTCAAATTATTACCTTAAGCTTTCTAAGTCGTTCACTTTAACTGTCTTACCACGGAAAACTTTTACTGCACAGTTATTTTTCCTGTTGTACTCGTTTAAATTTCTGCGCCCTTCCACCAAAAAGAAATCCCAGAAAGAACTTGACATTTCAACCTTAATATACATACTTCTATACACCTATATATATTTATATATTTCTACCTATGTATACATACCTTTAAATTGAAAGTATCTTGAGTCACTCCAAATACTTTTGCCCAACCTAATGGTATCGGATCCATTACATTGTGATATCTTAAATACTATTCTTTATATATCCAACTTATTACGTTATATACCTAACTTACTTCACTATGTTCTCCAGAAAGAATCGTGTCATATCGGAAATATTTTCGGACCTTTAGGGATCGAGAATATTCGTAATTGTTTAGACATTACG